ATAATTTTACTATTGTAATCGTTTAAAAAGAATTTTCGTTTATTATAAGCCCCTTTTGGTAAAGGGGCTTATAATATGAAAATGGTTTTCCACTTTTAAGTCCAGGTAACAATTTTCAATTTTTTCCTCTCTGAACGAGTTATTTCGATCGGTCTATTCAGAATTGACCGGTTTTTAGAAATACTTCGTGTGCAAACAACTTATGTTGGACTTGGCTCATCTTGAAAGACCCATACAGCTCGTCACCCGTTACAATGTCATAGACATGTTTTGAAGTACCATAATTGTATTTCTTGAGCATTTTTTTCGACCAATCGACACGAGCCACTTTTTTTGAGCGTTTATCAAATTATACGGGAACCAAGTCGACCAAATTTTTTTGGCGACCAAATGTTCATGCAATATTGAATGTACATATGCTGGTCCCACTGGTTAATCTCACGATAAGTCACATGACGATCTTACAATATCAGTTCACGCACAGCATCTGTTTTCTGGAACAATCGATTTTGGACGACCTTCACGAAATTCGTCTGAGCCAAGCACGACCACGATTGAATTCCGTATACCACCGACATAGTGATTTTTGATGGTGCTTCATCGCCAAAAGTTGAATTAAGTTCCATCAGACAATTCTTGTCGAAAGTTGTAAAAAAAATCGCACGGAAATGTTCACGACTTAACCCCATTTTTTGGACGAGACAAATTTTTCAAGTCATTGTATACTGATAAAGTCGAATTTTACGATAGGAACATCGGTTGTTATATGTCACTACCAGGACCGTCCATTCTCGAAATATAAAAGACAATCCCCGTATTACCTTTGACCATATCTAAGAAAAAAAAATAAGAATTGTCGACTACAGATGATTTTAATAGAATTTAAATATTCGAAGGTCATTTTTGAATATGTTCAACCCCAACGCCCTTATCTCGGAAATAGAATTTTTCGGCAAACTTTTATTTGAGTAATTTTTAAGTTTTCAACATAGAATCTATTGGAGACGTCTGGACGACTAGTACCTGACCGCTCTGTAGAAGTTTGCAAAATTAAAAACACAGATTATTTAAAATTTCTTTGTATATTAAAAAAATTGACAATAATCATATATAACATTGAGTTATGACTTTTATTTATTGGCGACGCTTCACATGAATATCATTTTTTCCGATGCACTAATACTTTAATGAATTAATTTAAAATAAGTCAATATTACATAGCCCCGGTCAACTATTGCCTGCCACACACCAACATAGTAAGGCACCAGAAATGTTTATACATATTATAATAATTTAATTACATTGGAAAAAATGTTATTGTTGTTGTTAAAAAATGATAGGTGGCACTGATATTTTTTCTTCGAGGATCCAACTCACCTAGAACAAAACAAACGAATCAAACGAGTTCCCGCAGCGTGATCGCTAAGCGGCAGCGATAACTACCGCTGTAATTTTATCGCTAACGAATTCGCTACATATTTATCGCTACAAAAATCGCGTAAATTGTTAAAAACCTAGCCTAGATCCGTGAATAGTACACCGTTTACACTTACCTAATCACTTTCACCATCAGAATCACTTTCTTCCTCGGCATTTTGCAGCCAATCAATAAACTCTCTCATCTGTTCGACGAACATCATTTTACCCTTAACGTTGTAATCCTGTTTGTACCATTTCAAAATGGATTGTTCTGAGATAACATCCGTCTTGTAAAACAACATTATTATCTTTTGGAACGCCTTCATGAATGTCATGTTGGAATAACAGTAGTCTTGTACTTTCAGCAGAAGGTTCAGTTCCGCGCGGGCTGATTGGCTGAAGGCGGAGAACAGGTTCGTGTAGTACTTCAGGTGGCGTACCGCTTGTTCGGTTACAAGCTCCTGAAATTAGATTAAGAAAATAATTATGAGTTAAAGTATCGCAAGAGACGACGTTCAATGTTTACCTACAGTACAAAAAATTTCAGTTAAAAGGCAGGTTTTATAATTTATATTCTTATTTTTAATTATCCACTGTTTGAAAGTTACAGGAGTAAGTATTGTAACTAAGAGATATTCACGTGTATTTTATAAAAAGGGACACCCGGTATAATGGATTTAGTTTGAAATTCAAATTACTTTTTGGTGTAAAAAAAATTTGTAGTTTACGATGCCCGATATCCAAAAGTGACAAATTACAAATTTCTTTACAACAAAATATAATTTGAGTTTCAAACTAACTCCATTTTATAGAAAATCTGCGTTAGAATGGAGGAAAGTCTGTTATTTGTGCATTAATTGATATTTAGGCAAACTGTGTAATAAAATCTATAAAAATGTATTACTGGTTACCTATTTGCTATAGAGCCCTCTTAACAGACATACTGTATGATAAAAAAATTTCAAGTAAATTGTAACAACTCACGATAACATTCAGCCAATTAAGGTAGCAGAATGCCAGTACTGGCGTTTTTAATATATTCCAGATTTTGCATGTGCTAAATATTTTAAATTTAACACGATAACTGCAATATCGCTGGAAATATTTAACGAAACAATACAATTTTTAAAGATTTAGATAACATAAGATATATAATCCCTTTATATTGTGTAAGAAAAATAGATTTCAAATCAGGAAAAAAACGTCACTTAAGTGCAAAATGCAAAATCGTCGACTTTAGTTTTGAGTAATTCTTTTTTTTAATGTAAAATAAATTTACTGAGCAGTTAATATATCAAAAATAACTTTAAAACTTTGTCCCACAAAAAAAAGTAATCATGAATTTAATTTTCCGTGACATGACACCCAGCGCCAGTAACTTGTACATAAATACTGACTACAATTCGCATTCGAAGAAGTTCTATGAAATTTTGAGAAATTCCCTAATATTTCTCTGATCTATGAAATTCCCCGATAATTGCATATTTTCCAGATTGGTATATACTAGACTGGACCAAAATAATCGACAATTTTTTTTTTGAAAGATATATCAAGAATATCATTCAGAATGACGAAAAAAAATATCGTGAGAGTTTGAGCCCTTAATATTAGTTTTAAGAGATCTATCATCGCTAGTTTCGATTTTTTATTCCTGACCCCATTTTTGCGTCAAAATGCCAAACCGTCAATATGTTTTTTCAATTTGACTTTTTAACTTTAGAATTTCGTAAATAACGAACAAATTAATTGAAAAAGAACAATACAGATTTTCAAAGGAAATTTAATGCTCTACAAAAAAGGTCTCTTAACATTTTTGCATAAATTTACTCTTTCAAAAGTTATTCACGATTGAAGTTGATGTAAAAATGAAATTTTTGTTTTTTTTTCGGTTTGGACCCAATTTTTTTCACTCAATGGAACAAATTGACATTATACATCATCGATAATTATTATTCTATCAATATAATCACCAAAAATATCCAAAATTCATAATATATTCAAATTTATTCTCGCTCTATAGCTTTTTTCTACAAGACCGTAGTTTTACTGTCTCAAAATAATTTTAAAAATAACAATTATGTAGTTTTACTATTGAAAATTATTTATTTACAATATTGTATACATTTATATGAAAGAAAAATCAGATTATGGCTCATAAAAAGATTCAAGGCCATTTTCACTCACTCCCCGTTTGTAATATCGATATCGTAATATCAATCGATATTCGTAATGCAAAGAATATATACACATTTAAAAAAAAAGTTAGAGAATATCTAGTTGCTATCTGCCCCTACAATTTAGAGGAATATTTACAGAATAATGCTGTACAATAATTTATTAATCTATTATTTTAGTTATACAGATTGTATCTGTTTTTTTTCTTTTTTCTCCATCTAGGATTTTGTATTTGTATATGTACTGTACTCTACTGATGTTTTTTATATTTAACTTTGACCTGTGTTTTTGACCTGTTTTCTATGTAATGCATATGAAAATAAAGCTTTATTATTATTATTATTATTAATAGACGTTGCATTGCGGTTATTAAGGAGAAGGGGGAGTATTTTTACTTACTCGTCATAGCGCGTAATAAGTTGAGGAAAAGCGAGATAAATAGAGGGGTAAGGGAGGAAAGTTGATAGACGCGAATTCGTATATAATATATTAATGAATATAACATAAATAAATAATTTTCAGTAGTAAAACTACATGACTGTTATTTTTAAAATTATTTTGAAACAGAAAAACTACGTTCTTGTAGAAAAAATAGCTATTGAGCAAGAATGAATTTATAAAAGATATTATGAATTTTGGATATTTTTGGTGATTATAGAATAATAATTGTCGATGATGTATAGCATCAATTTGTTCCATCGAGTGAAAAAAATTGGGTCCAAAACGAAAAAACAAAAATTTTATTTTTACTTCAACTTCAATCGTGAAGAACTTTTGAAGGATTAAATTTATGCAAAAATGTTAAGGGACTTTTTTGTAAGCATTAAATTTTCGTTGAAAATCTGTATTGTTCTTTTTCAGATATTAATTTGTTCGTTATTTACAAAATTCCAAAGTTAAAAAGTCAAATCGAAAAAACATATCAATTTTCAAGGCTTAATTACATGGAAACGGCTCGTCTGCCGAAAATTTTCAATCACACCTGTTTTGTAGGGCATTCAATCCTTCAAAAATATATGTAAATATTTTAATTGCCAGTATTGCGAGAAACAACTACTCCGAGGGCTATATATGCCCCTACTGGCATTGAATTATACTCGCAACACCTAGTGCAACAGCTAGGATCGTTCGCCAGTTTAACCCACCAGGCACAGACCGGTTTCGGACTTATTAGTCCTCATCAGTGCGTCATAGGTGAGACAACACTAGGTGTTGCGAGTATAATTTAATACCGGTAGGGGCATATAGCCCTCAGAGTAGTTGTTTCTCGCAACACTGGCAATTAAAACATTATCTTCGCCCTCTGTGGGTGGCAGTCGTGCAACAAGTACCTGCAATATAGCAGGTCGCTTCCTACTGTGGCCATTTGAATGGCACAGTTGTGTCAGCACGACAGATGGAGCCATTTGCGCTCCCGCGTACGTCTATGTAGATAATTTTTTTTACCGCGATGGTTTCGGCAGTTTTGACGCAAAAATGGGATCAGGAATAAAAAATCGAAACTAGCGATGATAGACCTCTTAAAACTAATATTAAGGGCTCAAACTCTCACGATATTTTTTTTCGTCATTCTGAATATTTTCGATACTTATATCTTTCAAAAAAAATAGTCGATTTTTGTGGCCGTCTAGTATATACCCTGTTAAGAGCATTAGATGCAAAATGGGCATTAGTTTATAAAATAAACAATTTTAAAATTATTTTTGATTTAAACAAATGTAAAAATTTTTCCGAATTTGAAAATGTCTACAAATAAATGAATTTTTTTTAAATACAATTAGGAATCAAACGCCCCTACCCATTTTTTTTTAATTGGCATCGAAATTCTGGGGTTTCTAGCGACAGTGCCTTTAGCTATGTCACTGTTAATAAAATTATTCAACAATTAAATCTCAGTCTGTTGAGGGGACCATCATATGTTCATTTTACTAACCTCTTTTTTGGACCATTCCGGGATGTCCATAACAGTTGTCCAAATGATGCATACCGTCTCGTGTTCCTGGATATTCTCCTTGGAGGCTATTTCCTTTATCTCGTTTATTATCTCGCGCTGTGGTTTATTCTCGCCCAGGCTGTCAGCCAACAGCACTTGCAGCTCCTTCTTGGCCTGCTGTTGGTGCTGATCGTTGTATAGTTTGAGTATTTCCTCTAGACCGTTGTCCTAGAAAAAGAAAGCGTCCCCGTCAGCACGTTACTTTCCGTTACGTTAACACGAGATCTCTGTCGTTACCTGAAAAGCATTTCGGAAGTACTGCTGTGACTGTTTCGTGTCTGGTATAAAACTCGTGAGATGGGATTCAATGTTGGACTTCTTGATGGCCGAATGCAGGGAGTTCACTCCCTTCTCCTGGCGCCAAGCTTTGAACATGTCAATGAGGAAGTCCAATGCGAGATTATCTTTGACCAAGTGAGAATTATTTAGAACGAGGATGGCGTTGAACGGCACGCTGCCGTTCGCTATCCAGATGTACAACATCACAGACAATTTTTTCCTATCAGACGGTTGGAAATACTTAACAAACATTAATATCTTCTTTATTTCATCCTGAAATGGAAGTTTCTTTTTTACTAGATGGACATTATACAGTCAAATAAATTGATACATTTTTTAACCTTGAATTAGTTGTGTAATAAATACCAAAATTGATATCAATTTATTGACGACAATAAATTCCTGAAGAAATTGCAAAAATAGCAATGGCATTAATTTTTCAACTTTTTAGTGAATTTTGATTTAGATATAATGCCAATCGTGTTTATAATAAAAATCATTAAACATGATTTAAGTTGCTCTTGATTTTCTTTATTATTTATTATTATCATTAAATTATTTATTAACTAAAACTATTGTGTAATTACAATAATAAATTGGATTGTGTAATATACTTGTTCATATTTTTAATAAATAGGAATAATAGGGAAAATACTCTCACCTCTAATATGTTTTATTAGAAAGATAGTTTTTTTTATTTTTTTTTCTCTCCTGTATGAAAATTACATAAAGCTAAAAAAAATATGTATTCACGGCAAAATTTTAGAAAAAATACAAGACAAATACCAAAAATTATTTTTTTGTAGTTGTTTATTGATACAAAACACCATCCATTTTTTTTTTCATTGATACAACATAAGTTGAATAATAAAAAAATAATTATTGGTGTTCGTTTCTTTAAAGACGATTTTGTGTAAATACAGTGCTATTTTTTTAAAACCTGCGTAGGCCAACTCTTTTATTTGAAGTGATAGACTAGTACTTCCAAATGCAAAGTTGTAGAAAATAACTTGGGATTAAAAAAAAATTACAAATAATTCTTTCCGGTGTTGCCAGATTTCTGCAGTAGCTACTAAAACGATATTTCTTTAAATGGCAACAACGTATTATTTTTACATAATTTGACAAACCTTCAAATTTTAAATAGGAAATATTATATCACATTTCTTTATTAGAGTAGTCGTTTTAGAACAATCAGCAAAAACAACGAGAATAAATTGTAGTTGGCAGGAACTAAAAGAAGCTAACACAGCAATAGCAGGTCTTGGAAATTAAACAAAAATTGGGTTGTTTGAAAGGAGCCATCATTATTGTACTGTCAGTGTTATTTGACAGCTGTTGTATTTGAATGTGTATAAAAAGTGTTTTAATTCAGTTGCTAAGATGAATCAGTTATTTACTCCACAAGAGAAAGTTGAATTAATTTTTCTTCATGTTGGCGGCTTAGGTTTACACAATGCGAGAGTTGAATTCCACGCAAGACGTCCCGATAAGTCTCATCAAAATCTGGTGTTTTTAAGATATAACTTAATAAAACTAAAAACAACTTGTGTCCAAGGATCCGCAAAATGCTCAAAATCATCTTAGCAATTGAATTAAAACATTTTTATACACATTCAAATAAACCGCCGCCAAACAATACAATGGGAGCACAATAATGATGGCTCTTTTCAAACAACACAATTTTTGTTTAAT